TGTTAACTCTTCACTGCTGGAAAGACCCCGTGGAGCCATTCCATCTCTCTTATGGTGCTAAACCAGCAAACAGAACCTAGAGCAGGAAACAAATTAAGTTAGGTTTATCTTAGGTCTCATGTCACTTGGACCGTATGGAGGCCACCAAATGAGTTATGATGCTCTGTCCTGTGCTAAATCGGGGATGTTATCATCTATCATCATATTATAGGTCTTCTGATGGAGTTCTTTTCCATCCTTTTTTCACTGGGTTAAAATCAAAGATGATTCTCAGTGAATTTGATGGGCATTTGGCACAGACCCTTGCTTATCAGATTGATTTTTGTAAGCTGTAAATCAGGTTGATCCAAGGCAATGTTTGCCAACCATTTAGGATTGACCTGCAGTCTCCTGGAATCAGCATCAATCTCCCAGAGACTATGGAAAGCAATACTGGAGATTGTAATACGATATTTTAAGAAAATGACATTATGTCACATTGGGAAAAAAAGCTACCGGAATAGCTTCAGGCAGAGTTGGCAACCCTATCCATGCAAACACATATATGGCTTTCATAGTAATTAGGTTCAAGTGGAGGGTTACTAGCTCCTACAACCCTAATCCTAGGTCCAACAGGAAGACATGAGAATGCTGAGGAGGGCAGCACCAATCAGATAAGGTTGGAGCTAGCCTGTTCAGTGCAGATGCAGCCAGGATACCTACTGGCAATTGTGAAACTGGCACAATCCCATAAGTGAAACTTCTTGAACAAATGCCTCTTCCAACCAGGAAATGGAATACACACTGAATCTTTCTCCTGATTCAGCATATGCAGACATTTTTCTTCATCTTCCAGAACCTCAGGTGCATAGGGCATCCACTAGCTTCTGTCACTTATTGTGGTCTTGTGCTGGTCTGCTCAGGCTTCTAAGGGTGTGTCTACACTGTACCCTACGTCAAAATAAAATACACAATTTTATCTATGCAAATTGCATATCTTATTTTTATGTTATTTTGAAATAGTTTATTTTGAAAGTTGGTGTGTCTCCCAATGGTCCATACTGGGACCAATCCAATTCAACCTATTTATAAATGATCTGGAGAAAGGGGTTAACTGTGAGATGGCAAAATTTGCATATAATACAAAACTGCTCAAGATAGTTAGGACCAAAGCAGACTGTGAGGATTTTCAAAAATCTCACCTAACTAAGTGATTGGGCAACAAAATGGCAAATGAAGTGTTATGTTGATAAATGTAAAGTAATGCACATTGGAAAAAGTAATCCCAGCTATACATACAATATGATGGGGACTAATTTGACCAGTTATCAATGCAGAGTCCCTTCTCTCTTATCTCATCACAACTTGCTTTACTTAAGAGCCTTTTGTGAGGGACCTCGTTAAAGGCTTTCTCAAAATCTAAGTGCACTCTATCTACTGGATCCCCCTTGTCCACATGCTTGTTGATCCTCTCAAAGAACTGTAGTAGATTAGTAAGGCAGGATTTCCCTATACAGAAACCATGTTAACTTTTCCCCAATAAATTACGATAATTGATGTGTCTGAATTTTATTCTTTACTATAGTTTCAACTAATTTGCCCAGTACTGACATTAGACTGTAATTCCAGGATCACCTCTAGAACCCTTTTTAAATATTTGTGACACTTTAGCTATCTTCTAGTCATTACTGATCTGATCTTGAGCAAGGGAATTTTCAGTACATAGGATTTCTTATGGTTTTGACCAATGCCAGTCATATTCTTTGCCTGGAGTTCTTTTTCAAGCTTGATGCATATAAATATGGTTCCCAGTGTTTTATTTTTTTAGTAAGATTCTGTTTACATAGTGATGTTAACAGTCTGATGCACAATGAGCCTTATTTTTTATTCTTTATTCAGAGGTCTGTATATGGTTAACAACCACCATCTCTACCCTTAGGACATGTTGGGTAGATCTGGGTACGGTCATAGATGGCTAAAACATACGGTGACTATATTTCCCTATCCTGAAAATGGGACACCTACTAAAATTACTCATATTCCAGTGAGTTCAATGGCAATCAATTGTTGCAGTACAAACATTCAAATTAACATCAAACTGATTGAACCCATTAAAAAGAAATACTGTGCAGCTGGCACAAGACAAACACACCTCTTCCAGTACCTGATGGTGCCCCAAAGCACCATGAGGGGGTCATGCAGGAACATGTGTCTCCTCCCCATTTCTGCCAGGTTTCACACCAGAATGTGGCCAGAAGTAGCCTTCCAGAACTGTGCAGGTGGGAAAGGGACATGAGCTACTTCCACCCAACTTTTCTTTCACTCTCCACCCCCCCCGTTGGAAGCAGCTTGGCCCTTTCTGGTCACACAGTGAAAAAAAAGCAGCTAACAACTATAGGCTGCAGATGGCCACCAACATAATTCAGCAAATTCCTGTTCCCCTAGCTACAGCATGGGCAAGAAGGTGTTAAGCTCTAAGGAGGCATTGTGCACCAGGGCCCAGAGAACTTGACTGCAGAGGTTTCAGCAAGCTAAGTCAAAAAGGGGGCTCAGCAGGAGACGGTGCCTAGGAACAGCACCTGGAACAGCAGATGCCCCACCAGCAGGGAGATAGAGAACCAGTGAGACTGAGGGGTTAGGGGTAGGGTTGCCCCAGGTCTTTTGGTCAGCAACCATTTTGTGCTGGCAGCCGTGTGAACCAGGTAAGCATGGGGGCTGGGGTCGGGGGACTGGAGGTGTTGGGGGCCAGAGGGAGGCTGGGGCGGAGGTGGGGGAGGCTGGACGCTGTGTGTTTGTGGGGTTGCCAGGTGCCCAGAATTTTCACCTCCTGGCTGGGGAAAAATTCAGAGAATACAGGACATCTCAGGTGTCTGGTATTCTCTGAATTTTTTTTACCGGGCAGGAGCTGAAAATACTGGACTGTCCGGGTGAATATCGGACACCTGGCAACCCTAGTTGGGGGTAAAGGGCCACAGCAGGTAGAGGGAAGGAGAGAGCATGTAAATGGGTGATGGGTGTACAGCAGAAGAGACATGTAATGAGAAGACATGGCCACTGCCTGGTGTCTGCCCACACTCTCCAGCCACCACAGGTCACAGTGCACAGGTCACAGTACACCAGCTGGAAATGGGACAAGGCTCGGCTGCTGAGCACTGGCATCATTGGTGCCCGCTAGCCTACTTGGGGAAAGGCTTTGCTTTCCCAAATCGTCAGACAGGACCCCGCACTGCACACATTCTGCCCCCCAGAATGCTTGCTGTAGGCATTCTGAGGGTGGAGTGTTGCTGCCCCCACCACCTGCCCTCCCTGTGTTCCAGGGGCCAGGGAGGCTCTCCTCCTCTTCTCTCTTCCCCTCCCTGTGTTGGGGAGCAGGGCCTCAGCAGAGGGGTGGGATTGTGAGTGGAGTTGGGGGCCTGCCTCCCCCAGCACTAGTTGCACTGAGTGCCCACGGTTGGCATGCAGCTAGGGTTGCACTAACAAACTAGTAGGGAAAATGGCCTTCTCCCCTCCACAAGCCTTGCACACCTACTCCCATCATCAGATACAGAACCTATCCCCACTCACCAGTGGCAGGAGGTGGCTGGTGAGCAGCAGTGATCTGGCCCAGGGGAACAGAAAATACAGGACATTTTGCCCATTTCTCACAATAAGTCAGGACATATGCAGGAAGGCTAAAAAAGAGACTGTCCTTTTAAAAATGGGACGTCTGGTCATCCTACTAAAACAACTAAAACTGAGTGTAAGACATTGTCTGCTTTTAGTTACACATTTGCAACTTTGTTGACTTTATACTAGCATTGACAAAGAATTTATTAGCATTGACAAAGAATTTGGATCTGGGTCTGAATTCCAATAAATTTATAATCAGTGTTACAATTGATTCTCTACAACCCTGGTCCCCAACCTTTTGGGGCTGCCGCATGCCCGGGGGCGGGGCCGCTCATGCGCTGCACGTCCAGGGTGGGGCCGCACATGCGTCGCTTGTCTGGGGCGGGGCCACGCATGCACCACGCGTCTGGGGGCAGGGCCACGCCTGTGCCATGCACCCAGGGCCGTCGCTGCGCATGCGCTGCACACCCAGGGCACAAGAATGGCTTGGGCCGGCCCTGGTCACTCAGCGGGTGCACATAAATGCCCCCACGGGTGCCATGGCACCCGCAGGCACTGCGTTGGGGACCACTGCAATAATGGGAATGGGTTGCAAAGTCTGAATCCAAATCTGCAGATGAACGTGCTTAGTTTCAGGATGTGCATGTTATTGTTTTTGAAATGTTGGCAACACTGTTACTCAACATGTGAGTACAGTTGTACTCTGTTGTCCATCACTTTTTAAAACGACACTAACTCCCCCATTTCAACTACCGACCCTGCTATCCTTAATCTGCAACAGAGACCAGCACCAGTAAACCACATTGCACTCTTCAGAACGATTCCCACAAAAGCTTGAACTGTCTCTGCACTTGGAAAGGGCTTTTCCACTCTAGGTCTGTTGAACATGAGTGAAACAAACCACCCTCGTTACTTTCAAAGCAGTGGGTGAAACTTGTCAGGTGGCAGATAATCTTTCTACTGGGCCACTTCTGTTGGCGCCCAGGACAAGAGAGGCCAGGACATCATTGCCAGTAATAACAACCGTATTGTCAGAGGGAAAACAGGTTCCTGTAAGCCGGGGGAGCACGCAGTGCAGCTGAGAGATGACTCAGTCGCACGCTGCGAACGCCCCCGCATCAGCCCCAGCTGCTCTCGTCAGGTGGCAGATAATCTTTCTACTGGGCCACTTCTGTTGGCGCCCAGGACAAGAGAGGCCAGGACATCATTGCCAGTAATAACAACCGTATTGTCAGAGGGAAAACAGGTTCCTGTAAGCCGGGGGAGCACGCAGTGCAGCTGAGAGATGACTCAGTCGCACGCTGCGAACGCCCCCGCATCAGCCCCAGCTGCTCTCC